AGAATCACTTGAACCCATGAGGTTGAGGTTGCAGTGAGCCAAGATCATGCCACTGCACTCCAGCCTGGACAGAGTAAGACCCTGTCTCAAAAAGAAATACAGGGGGCCAGGCACAGTGGCTGACACCTGTAATCCCAGCACTTTGGGAGGCAGAGGCGGGCGGATCACGAGGTCAGGAGATCAAGACCATCCTGGCCAAGATGGTGAAACCCCGGGGCTACTAAAAATACAAAAAGTAGCTGGGCGTGGCAGCACTCACCTATAGTCCCAGCTACTCGGGAGGCTGAGGCAAAAGAATTGCTTGAACTCGGGAAGCGGAGCTTGCAGTGAGCCGAGATTGTGCCACTGCACTCCAGCCTGGGTGACACAGCAAGACTCCATCTCAGGAAAAAACACAAAAAAAAGAAGAAGAAATACAGGAACAGGGGAGCTCAGTGAGCATCCTGGTGGAAACCAGCTCATCCCCTCCTGTGCCCAGCACAGAACCAAATAATCGATATTATCATTAAGGAGGATGATGTATATGATGCTCTAGGTTTAAGGGCTCATTCATGTCCACATGGAATCAATTCATATTCTTCATGGATCTTCTGGGGTCCACAGATCTGAAAGGCTATGTGTACAAAGGGGCAAGGCCGTAAGCCAAGACTTAAGAAATGATCCTCGTTCAGCTTTATCAGGGGCCTGCAGTACAAGCAAGTTTCTTCAGTGCCTTACTTTTGCTGTTTGAAAGAGGACACAAATGGCCGGGTGTGGTGGCTCACATCTGTAATCCCAGCACTTTGGGAGGTCAATCACTTGGGCCCAGGAGTTCAAGACCACCCTGGGCAACATGGTGAAACTCCCCAGGCATGATGGCACATGCCTGTATTCCCAGCTATGCCTTCCAGCTGACATGGGAGGATCCCCTGAGCCCAGGAGGTCGAGGCTGTGATGGGCCATGATCACGCCACGCACTCCAGCCTGGGTGACAGAGTAAGACCTTGTCTCAAAAAAAAAAGAAGAAAAAGAAAAGACAAGACAGAGAGCACAAGTGATCTATATATCATAGGGTTATTCTGAGCACGATACGAAATTGCTAATGTAAGAATCACACCGAGAATACGATTCACTATTCCAGATGAACCAAGCAAGGACATGTCAGGTCAAGGAAGAGCTGGAAAGGAATAACCCCTGGAACTCTAGGGCTGGGGTCGGAGGCAAGAGTCAGGGGTCATGCAGGATCAAGTCTAGGGCACCTGGGGCCATCACTGGCACCTGGAGATCTAGCTTGGTCAGCAGGGAGAAAAGGACTCAAGGAAATTACCCAAGAGACCAAGATGGAAAAAATAAGACACAGGAACAGAAAGAGACAAAGAGAAGAGACAGAGGGGAAAATGGTGATGGCAGCCTGGTCACAAGGGCCCCAGCCTAGGCCTCTCCTGTCACAAACACCTGCTGCTCGCTCACTACCTTCCCCAGAGTGCCTGGCCCTCCCCTAGCCAGCCCCTCCTTCACTACCCCTCCGCAGCTTGCTCTCTTGAGGCTAAAACTCCCAGGGTACACAGTTATCCAGCACAGCTGCCACAGTGGGGAAAAGCCAGGCTCCTTCACCCCTCACCCATCATTTCTGCTCCAAGCTCCTCACCCCATTCCATTCCCTAACTTAAACTCCTCACCCTTTCCATTTTCCTGTGGCAACAGTAGCCCAGGAAGTTTCACCTAACCTCAACCTAGCCAAATGCAAAAAATAAAATTTAAAATCCCACAAGAATTATGTGGCACTAATCGAACAAGCAGGCCAGCTCAGAGTTTGTGGGAGACCCATGTCTGTCCCCTGCCAGTGCCTCCCCATGACTGTTTCTGTATCTACGAAGAAGCAACTAAAGAATCTATCCCTATCCATTCCATGCCCAGGTTGCAGGCCATTTCTCGAAGCCAGTTCTCCCACTTCTCTCCAGCCTTCATACTGTAACTAGAGACAGCCGCAGCATGTGGCAGCTGGAATTCCTGGGACCAAGGTGGGGGTGGGGGCAAAGGATACCAACCAGACAAAGGGGGAGTCCTTCCCTCACTCCCACCCTATTTAATTCTGCAGACTCTGGGTTTAAACAAAACCCCTTGTCTCTGTGGGCCTGGCTCCTAAGCCTGGCTCCCTCCTGATCAGAGGCCTGAGCTACCTTCCATTCAGGTACTCAGAAAAGTGGACTGGTACAGGGAAAGACCAGCAAAGACTAGAAAACACCTGCGAACTCACCCGCACGCCCCCCGCCGCCAGCCACCTCCCTCTTGGGAGTTCCAGTGACTTAGAGGTCATCCGATGGCCACCCACTCAGAGCAGTCGACCAAGCAAGTCGCCGAGCTCAAGGCCAAGGAAGATCAGGCCTTCCTGCGACTGCTGAGCCCTGTCTCTAGGGCTCCTATCTCCCCCGCCCCCTTTCCCTCTGTGCTTCCCCAAAAGCCAAAGAGGCTGAACAGGAAAAGGCTGAACAGACCCAGGTCGAGTGGGGGCTTCACTGCCCTTTGCCCGGGCCCAAGGCCTGCAGCGCAGAGGAGGGCGAGGGGCTGGCGGCGATTAGGTTGCGACCAAGCTGGGCAGCGGGCGGAATTAAGTCCCTGCCATCTGCCGAGGGCCGGCGCGGGGAGCAAGTCCTGGGTTGCGAGGAGGGGGCGGGGTGTACACAAGAGAAACTACAGGGGAAACTGAGGCGCGCGGCGCTTCTCTCACTCGCACCGGCGAGCGAAGCGAAGGCCGGGCCTCAGTCAGGCCAGGCCCTTTGGTACCTGCTGCGCAGCACCTGGGGACCCAGGACTACACAGGATGGGGTGGGGAGCTGGGAAAGAGGGGAAGAGAGAGGGGGCGGTCTCTGCGCGACTCTCAGCTCTCTAGCCGGGGTCCGTCCCAACTCGGACCTCGTCCCCTCGCCTCCGGGCGCAGGGGAACCTCCTTCCGCCGCGGACTCCCGGAGGCTCGCTAGAGACTGGAGACTGATCGGAGGGTGCACATGGGGCCAGGGGCGCAAGCCTGAGTCTTGCCCGGGCCCGGACGCTGACCCGCGCCCAGTCGGGGTGCAGGCTCCGCTCCGGCCTGGCCCAGTCCCCCCGCCCCCATCCCCGGGAACGGACACCATTTTAGGTCGCGACATCCCGCAGCCTCCAATCTCCGGGCCGCACTTCGGGTGCCTCTCGAGCTGGGGGCGCCAGGACTTGGGGTTCTCGACCCTCCTGGGGGTTTACCCGGCTAGGGGCTGTGCTTTCAACAGGCCGGGAGTTTTGCCCATCCGCCCCAATGGATGGAGGCGGTGTCTGGGCCCTCCTAGAAGCCGCCCCAGGGGGCGGCGCGGAGAAGGGGGTAGTTGACCAAGTGGGGGAGGGGCGGGGGTATTTACCCGCCCCCCCAAGTGGGCGGAGCCAAGGGCGGGTATTTACCCCAGGCACGCTTACTTGTTCCGCTCCTGGTGCGGGCCGAGACCCGGCGGTCTCTACCCCACTCCAGCCGCCGCCGCCACCGCCGCCCTCCCCGCGGCCGCCGCTACTTCCTGCTTCTCTCCGGTTCAGCCTCCCCCCTCCCTCTCCTCCCTCCGCGCTCCGGGTCTGGGCTGCCCGCTTTCGCACTCGCCATTGGCCCTTGCCCCCTTCGCTCAGCCCTGCGCCCCTCCCAGCCCCGCACTGGGTTGGTCCTAAGTACTGCCGCTCGGAACTAGCCCCGCACAGTCCTCTTATGCTCATTGGGCAAGGGGCCGAGGCCCTCTGAAGATACCTCTCCCCATTGGCTGCGCAAGGGTCCGTCTGCCCCATCTGCAAGTCACGGAAACGATTGGCCTCCGCCACTGTCGCTTAGAAAGAAGCCAGCCTGCTTCCCGGCTTTCCTACTAGAGAGGGGAGCGCCCAGGTGCGTCTCCGCCCCTCGCTCCCTATTGGCCGCTCGAAGCTTGAAGCTGCAGTTCACTTTCGCGAATCGAAGGAATCCAGCTTCTGTATGGTGGGCGCTTTGAGCAGAACCGCACTGAGTCGGAGTGCAGGACGGAAGTGTAGGTCCTTTTGCGCTGTTTCAAGCTAATTCCGTGTCACTGATGCCGGGCAGAAGTCACAGAATGGGACGCCACCCCAAACATTACGTCATCCGCTGACCATTTCCTCGCTGTCTTCCCACCGTCGAAATCGCCATATAATCTGATGGATGGGATCCTCGCACGGGCCAGCTCCTGGGCCACAGCGTAACCCGTCGCTCCTCCCTCTGCGGGAGGGCGTGGACGGGGTACGGGATTCCGAACGTGGAAGGAATCGGGACCTAAAGGTTGGGAAGTGCTCGCGGACCGGAAGCGGGGGAGGCGACGTTAGGAGTGCTGGCGTGGCCTGGGCCATTTCCAAAGAGGCCTTAAAGGGGCAACTGATAGGCTTCCTAAGTATGGGCTGGAGGTACCCCCCAGCTCCATTTCCCATTTAAGAGCTCCCCTTTTCCCCGCCCCCAGCAAGGAGTAGGGGGTGGGGTCAAGGTCGAGTTTTCCCGCGCTTTGTTGCCACGCCCCCTGCAGGCGGGGGAAAGGGAGGAGTCGCTCGGAAAATGAATCTCTTAAATGTTCTAAATAGCACTGGCAGAATTCGTCTGCAAGCCCAGCGTGCCACCTCGCGCACGCAGCCGCTCGTTAACTGCATGGTGTTTTTTTTTTTTAATTAGTTTTTTTGAGGCAGTCTCACCCTGTTGCCCGGGTGGGAGCACAGTGGTGCGATCACGGCTGACTGCAGCCTCAACCTCCCAGGCCCCAGTGATCCTCCCCCCTCAGCCTCCTGAGTAGCTGGGACTACAAGAGACAGCCAACACGCCTGGCTAGTTTAATTTTTTGTAGAGACAGGGTTTTGCCATGTTGCCCAGGCTGGTCTCAAGAGATCCTTCAGACGTGAGCCACTGCTCCCTACCTTGGCGAAGTTTTTTTTTTTTAAACAGGGCCTCATTCTGTAGTCCAGACTGGAGTGCAGTGGTGGGACCTCGGCTCACTGCAACCTCCACCTCCCAGGCTCAAGCGATTCTCCAGCCTCAGCCTCCCGACTAGCTGGGATTACAGGTGTGCAACACTACCCGCCCGGCTAATTTTTTTTTTTTTTTTTTGAGACGGAGTCTCGGCCCTGTCGCCCAAGCTGGAGTGCAGTGGTGCGATCTCGGCTCACTGCAAGCTCCGCCTCCCGTGTTCACGCCATTCTCCTGCCTCAGCCTCCCGAGTAGCTGGGACTACAGGCGCCGGCCACTACGCTCGGCTAATTTTTTGTATTTTTAGTAGAGACGGGGTTTCACCATGTTAGCCAGGATGGTCTCGATCTCCTGACGTCGTGCTCTGCCCTCCTCGGCCTCCCAAAGTGCTGGGATTACAGGTGTGAGCCACCGTGGCCGGCCATTTTTGTATTTTAGTAGAGACGGGGTTTCACCATATTGGCCAGGCTGGTCTCGAACTTCTGACCTCAAATGATCCACCCGCCTCAGCCTCCCAAAGTGCTGGGATTACAGGTGTGACCCACCGCGCCCGGCAGGGTTTTTAAAAGTGGTTTTGTTACCCTGCCCAGGAGTCCCAGGACACTGGAACCAGGACTCCCCATCGCGCCCCGGCAGTTTCCGAGCTCCTTTGAAGTATGCGTCAGAACTTATGGATGGGAATCCTGGAGCCACCACTTGCCCTATGATGGCAATGGGCAAGTCGCTCAACCTCCCAGATCCTGTTTTCTCATGGGTAAAACGGGGATTATAATACCACCTGACAATATTATTTTTGTGAGGATTAAATGATTTTAGAATGTAAATGTGCTTTGTAAAGTAATTGGCAGTTGGGATTAGTGTGCCCTTTCTCCCGGAGACTTGCATCCTGTGTGCTCGGTCCGTCTGCATTTGCTCCCAGTCGCTCCAGCTCAGGTGCTCTTCCTTCTCTGAGGACTGTTTAAGGGTCCCTATGTAAGCAACCGGCATTCCGTTTCCACCTCCTCTTCTGGTCTTCCTATACGGAATAACAGTTACTACTCATATACACATAATATTATGGGGGACTCACACCTGTAATCCCAGCACTTTGAGAAGTCTAGGTGGGTAGCTCGCTTGAGCCCTGGAGTTCGAGACCAGCCTGTGCAACATAGCAGGACTCTGCCTCTCCAAAATATTTGGGAAAAAAAAATTAGCCAGGGGTGTTGGCAGGCGACTGTGATCCCAGCTGCTGGGGAGGCTGGGATGGAAGGATCGCTTGAGCCTAGGAAGTCAAAGCTGCAGTGAGCTGGGATCACACCACTGCACTCCAGCCTGGGAGACAGAGCAAGACCCTGTCTCAAAAAAAAAAACACACACACACACAAAAAGAAAAACTTTATGTATATCATTAATAACTCATGCAATCCTTAGCACAACCATGGAAGGAGGTACTGTTCCAGGTACTGGGGGTGCAGCAGTTAACAAAGCAGACAAGAAGCCCTGTCATGAAACACACATTCTTAAAGAGAAGACAAACAATAAATATTAGAACTGATAGCTGCCAAGGAATAAAATAGAGCTATCAAGCCATGCAAAGACAGAGGAATCTGCAGTGCACGTGAATAAATGAAGAAGCCAATCTGAAAAGGCTGCATGCTGTATGATTCCAACTATGTGACATTCTAGAAAAGGCAAAACTAGAGAGAGTAAAAAGATCAGTGGTTGGTTGCCGAGGGTTCAGGTGGAGGGAGGGAGATGAATAAATGGAGCACAGGGGACTCTAAGGACACTGAAACTATTCTGTATGATACTGTAATAGTGGATACATGGCATTATTCATTTGTCAAAAGCCATGGAATGTACAACACAAAGACTGAACCCTGTGAGCGTGGTGGCTCACACATGTAATCCCTGAACTTTGGGAGGCCAAAGCGGGAGGATCAACAAAAAAATTAGAAAAATTAGCGGAGTACAGTGGCGCACACCTGTAGTCCCAAGTACTCAAGAGGCTGAAGCGGGAGAGTTCCTTGAGCCCAGCAGTTTGAGGCTGCAGTGAGCTATGATCCTGCTGCCGCACTCCAGCCTGGCAACAAAGTGAGACCCTGTCTCTTAATAATAAAGAATCCATATTGGTTCATCAATTGTAACAAATGTACCACACTAATGCAAGATATTAATGAATAATAGGGTAACCTGAACAACATGAAGAGACCCCATCTCTACAAAAAAACTTTTTTTAAGTGTGGCATGGTGGTGCAGCCTGTGGTCCCAGCTATTTGGGAGGCTGAGGAGGGAGAATCACCTGAGCCCTGGAGGTCAAAGTTGCAGTGAGGTATAGTCACACCACTGCACTCCAGCCTGGGCAAAAGACCAAGACCTTGTCTCAAAATAATAACAACGGGAAACTGGAGAGAGGATATGTGGGAACTCCCATTTTGTGCTCAGTTTTTCTGTAAACCTAAAAATGCTGTAAAAAATAAAGTGTTAATTTAAAAACAAAAACAATCAAAAAACAAAGCAGGCGGCTAGGTGCGGTGGCTCACACCTGTAATCCCAGCACTTTGGGAGGCCGAGGCGGGTGAATCACGAGGTCAGGAGATCGAGACCATCCTGGCTAACACGGTGAAACCCTGTCTGTACTAAAAATACAAAAAATTAGCTGGGCATGGTGGCACACACCTATAGTCCCAGCTACTTGGGAGGCTGAGGCAAGAGAATCGCTTGAACCCGGGAGGCAGAAGTTGCAGTGAACCGAGATTGCGCCACTGCACTACAGCCTGGGCGCAGAGCAAGACTCCGTCTCAAAAAAAAAAAAAAAAAGCAGGGAAGGATGACAGTAAGTGTGGGAGGGTTGCAATTTTAGATAGGGTGGACAATGAAGGCCTTTCCGAGAAGATGGTGGTTAAGTAAAGGTCTGAAGGAGATGAGGGAGTGAGCCATGCAGCTATCTGGGACAAGAACATTCCAGGAAGAAAGAACAAGTACAAGGTCCTCAGGTGTGGAGTGTGTTCCAGAGTGGGTGGGAGGAGCGAGTTGGGTCATGGGATGCTTTGGAAGCTATGGGAAGTTCTTTGGCATTTTCTCAGAGTGGGATAGGAAGCCATCAAAAGGAGACAGATGACGTGGTGGCCTGACTTACGTTTTAAAAGGGTTGAAAGTGCGGTGTGAGAGAAAGAAAAGACTCCAGAGCTTGGAGGCTGAGGAAGTAGAAGCATGATATTGCCCCATTTCTTGAGCTGAGAAGACTACAGGAGAAGCAGGTTTTAGGGGTTAGGTCGGTAGCTCAGTTTTAGTCATGTTGAGGTATTACACATCCAAGTGGAGATACAAATGTAGGTGTCATCAGCTTATAGATAGTGTTTAAAACCCAGGTCAGAATGGATGAGATCACCAAGGGAGGACTGAGGCACGGGAAACTCCAAAGTTAAAAGGTCAAGGAGATGAGAAGAACAGCAAAGAGGAAGGAGGGAACCAGGAGAATGTTGTAACCTTCAAGCTAAATTTAAAAAGTATCTCAAGAAAGAGGAAGAGAGAATGATAGTCAGATGCCACTAAAATATCAAATAGGATGAAACCTGAGAATTGACCAATGGATTTAAGCAAAATGGAGGTCACCGGTGATCATGATAAGGAGAGATTTGATGGACTGGTGGGGACAAAAGCCTGCATGGAATGGGTTCAAAAGAATGGAGGAGGAAAAAAGAAAAGTCACTATAAAACTCTTTCAAAGGAAGGAAGGAGAAAAAAGATGGTAACTAGAGGAAAAAAAGCGACCAAGAAAGGACTGTTTCTTTTAATAGTTATCTCTTTTTCTCATCAGGTTCTACTGACCCAAGGAAAGGACTATTTATTTGAAGATGAAGAAGTTGTATGTTAGTACACGGGTGGGGAGGATCCTGTAGACAGGAAAAACTGAAGTAGCAGAGCGATAAGGAAAGTTCCTGGAACCATGTTCTTCAGAAGGTGAGCTAGAGGGTCAAGTTCACAAACAGAGGCATTGCCTTACACAGCGGCAGGAACAGTTCCCGCATAATAATTGGGAGAGAAGGCAGAGTGAGCGGGCATGGGTCGAGGGAGCTGGGGAGCTGTGGGATATCTCTTTGTTGTTTCTGTTGTCCAGTGGTATAAGAAAGAGCATGTGTTGTCCAACTCTATAAGAATAAAAAATCAAGATCACCCTCTAAGAGTGAGGATGATGAAGAAACTAGGAGTTTGAGGAGAAAAAAGGTAGGAAATACGCATTCAGGAGAGAGGAATGGACTAGAAGGGGAGATCAAGAGACTGAGAGGCCAGTGGCCTGGAAGACTCATTTACCTGGATATTTAAATCAACAGGAATGGGCCGGATGCAGTGGCTCACACCTGTAATCCCAGCACTTTGGGAGGCCGAGTCAGGCGAATCACCTGAGGTCAGGAGTTCGAGACTAGCCTGACCAACATGAAGAAACTCCGTCTCTACTAAAAATACAAAAATTAGCCAGGCATAGTGGTGCATGCCTGTAATCCCAGCTACTCGGGAGGCTGAGGTAGGAGAATCACTTGAACCTGGGAGGCGGAGGTTGTGGTGAGCCGAGATTGTGCCATTGCACTCCAGCCTGGGCAACAAGAGTGACACTCCGACTCAAAAAAAGAAAAAATTCTTGAACTTCATATATATAGAGAGTATGATTCCATTTATATATGTGTGTATATATATGTATATATATATGTGTGTGTGTATATATATATACACTATACATATATAGTATGATTCCATTTATATAAAGTTCAAGCCAGGCGTGGTGGCTCTTACCTGTAATCCCAGCACTTTGGGAGGCTGAGACAGGTGGATCACAAGGTCAGGAGTTCAAGACTAGCCTGGCCAAGATGCTGAAACCCCATCTCTACTAACAACACAAAAATTAGCCAGGCGTGGTGGTGTGCACCTGTAATCGCAGCTACTTGGGAGGCTGAGGCAGGAGAATCACTTGAACCTGGGTGGCAGAGGTTGCAGTGAGCTGAGATCGTGCCACTGCACTCCAGCCTGGGCAACAGAGCAAGACTCCGTCTCAAAAAATAAAACAAAAATGAAAAATAAAGTTCAAGAACAGGCTAAGTAAATCAATGGTGATAGTAGCAGAATTGTGGTAACCATTGCCTGGGAAAGGGTAAGAGGAATATATATATACACACACACGCACACACACTCATACACATTTTTTTTTTTTTAAAACAAGGTCTTGCTCTGTCACCCAGGCTGGAGTGCAGTGGGGCAATCACGGCTCACTGCAGCCTCAACCTCCTGGGCTCAAGTGATCCACCCGCCTCAGCCTCCCAAGTAGCTGGGGCTGCAGATGTGAGGCACTGCGCCTGGCTAGTAGGAGGAATCTTTGGAGATGCACACACAGACACACAGACCACCAGATTAATGGTGCGCACCTTCTGTTAATAGTACCCACCACCTTTCCTTGTTGCAGCCGTCTTCTGTCTCACCCTACTCTGTCCTATACCACTCCTATCCTCATTCTTGATTGTTCATTTATTATTATTATTTTTTTTTTTTTTTTTTTGAGACGGAGTCTCGCTTCTGCGCCCAGGCTGGCAGTTGCAGTGGTGCAATCTCGGCTCACTGCCCAAGCTCGCCTCCCAGGCTTACCGCCCATTCTCGCTGCGGCAGCTCTAGTCTGAGATAGAGGCTGGGACTCGCGCGCGCACCACCGACGCCCGGCTAATTTTTTTTGTTGTATTTTTAGTAGAGACGTGGTTTCACTGATGGTTAGGCCAGGGATGGGTCTCGATCTCCTGACCTCGTGATCGCTGCCTCGCCTCCCAAAGTGCTGGGATTTACAGGCGTGAGCCACGCACTC